CAGCAAAAACGTACACAGTTGCATATCGGCGCGTGTTTGGCAATTACGCTTGCGCATGTTGTTTTGATTGACAGACAGACGCAGCCACATTGCTTTTGCCAGACAGTACTCCTTGGGGAGTCGTGCGTCATCTCAGCAGACACAACTGTTGCGGCTATAAACAGCCAAACACGCAACACAGGAGTCGTTTTGCTTGTTCCAGCGCGAGAGCTTTGGTGTTTAATTTGGCATGCCAGAAATTGCGCATCATTGTGGTCACAAAGCAAGACGCAGGTTCATCTGTGCAAAGCAGTGTCCACATTCGTGTACGCGCTGATGGCTCTGTGGGAGCGGCCTGCTGCCAATTTCGGGAAAAGCTAGCTGTTCGAGAGAGAGCTTGAAAGGCATTCAGCGAGGTTGCCAACTCGCAAGCTCTTCGTCGCGCAATACAGCAAAGATCACGACCTCAACGCAAGGTCTTCCATCCAGGCGACTGGATCATGGCCTGGATTGGTCCACTGAAAGCGATAGTGCAAGAAGATCAAAACATCATATGGGCTGCGCTTGGAAACAAGTTGTTTAGAATCGCTCCGGAACATGCTAGGCCGCTATCAGCAGTTGAAGAAGTCCAACATCAACCAAAGTCGACCTCACCGGAAATGGACACCATGCTGGAACAACTCAAATCCGGAAATACCCGTTTTGTTGACCTTCCCATAGCACCTGGGTATCCCGAAACGTTTCAACCATCCGATAGATCCGAGGTTGAACGTAGCAGTGAACAACCGGATGATGAACCCGAAACAGGGGTAATTCCAGGGTCAAAGGATAATCTCGACTACACTCCCTCCATTGCACCAGCTGAAGAACCCACAGTACCGTCACCAGAACCCGCACCAGAGGCTCCAGAAAACATCCCGGTTCCTGGAGATGATGATGAAGAACTGTTGTCTGACCTTGGAAGAAGACCAAGCTCGGAAATTCGATATAGATGTCATGGCCTCAGACCCCGATCACTTAAGAAACGACCCCAGGCCATATGAATGTGCTTTCCTCGTGTCCGCAGCCAAGAAACAGAAAACGGAAGTTGAACTAGCTGTCCTGACTCCTCATGAAAAGAAGTTGTTCGTGAAAGCAAAAGAAAAGGAGATTCAGAGTTGGCTGGACACGCAGGCGGTCTGCCGCATTCTCAGAAACAATATTCCAGAACAAAATGTTCTGAAATGCCGATGGATCCTCACCTGGAAGGATGCTGACACGAACTCTCATTTGAACACAGTCAATCAGTCGGCAAACTGAAAAGCCAAAGCTCGCCTCGAAATCCTGGGATACCAGGATCCCGTGTTGAGTAATTGAGTAACCCAGAACGATATAGTCCAACCCTATCCAAGCTTCCCAGGAATCTGTTGCTCCAAACATGTGTTTCGAATAAATGGACAATTGGAAGCTTCGACATCAAAACAGCATTCTTGAGAGGACGCGCCGACTCCAAACCTCCTGCAGAGCTTAGAGCAAAGTTGAACCTCCAACCCAAAGAGATATGCCGATTGCTGAAGGGGGCCTACGGCCTCGTGAACGCACCACTCTTGCGGTTCAAGGAACTCACCAAGGCATTGTTGGAACCTGGCTTTGAAGCAGCCCCGTTTTGACCCGTGTTGCTTTATCTTGTATGATGAACAACAACAAGCCAGAGGTGGTTGTTTGCTGGCGATATGGAATTTCACCAAAAGATCAGCCAATTGGAGAAAATCTTTCCGTTCGGATGTAAAAAGCAAATGAACTTTGTCTTTACGGGCCTATAGATCAACCAACAAGATGACTATACCATCACGGTAGATCAAACCCAATAAGTGAAAGACACTGATCCTATTAGTATCGATAAAGATAGAAAAACCAGACAGATGCACCAATCAACGAGGAAGAACGTCAAGCCTTTCGGGGACTCATCGGAAGCCTTCAATACGCAGCTGTCAACGACCAGATCTTGGAAGCCGATTCAGCTTTTTGCAAAGCAAAATAAATAATGTCCAGATCAATGATCTTATCGAGGGAAACAAACTCCCGCATGATGCCAAACTCCACTCGAAGGTGCAATGTCAGCATCATGTCCGGTTTGTGGCCTTCTCAGACGCATCATTCGCCTCAGAGAAAATACAATCATCACACCAAGGACTAATGATCATGACCGCGCATAAGAACATAGGGCTAAAACGCAGCGTAGTCAATCCAATCATGTGGTCTTCCAAGAAAATTCAAAGGTGGCAGTGAGCACCCTCTCAGCAGAGGCGATGGCTCTTGCGGCACAATGGATATCCTCGCATGGCGTCGACTGTATTGGGGATGGCTTCTGGACACAGTTGCCAATGGAGACTGGGAGACAAAACACTGCAAAAGCTTCCTCCAGCTTTTTCGGCACTCAAGGATGAACCTGATCTCTTAGACCCGAACACTTCCTTGAGCGAGAACCTTGAGACACTCCAAGCCATTGGAAAAACCGATTCCCTGATTGCCACAGATTGCAAAAGCCTTTACGACCTCATCAGCAGAACAGCACCTCCAGCATGCCAGGAATTCCGGACATTGTTGCAGGCGAGGTTAATCAAGGAACACCTAGCCGCTAGCCACCGGCGTTGCCATCCGGTGGGTCCCGTTAAATGCTCAAGTGGCCGATTGCCTCACCAAAGTCATGGACACTACCTCACTCCGTGAATTACTTCAGGTAGGTAGGTGCCAACCCTGAAGAAGAGATCCGATCCTCCCGTCTCAAATGGGTCCGAAGCCATTTGCAGCCGACGACAGATCCCAACAAGTGAGAAAAGCCAAGACGTCTCCACTTGTGTGGCGAGATCTTCACCACTGCAGCTCTCCCAAGCCAGGTTCAAGAACTCAGCGATGTCTGACAGACTGAACACCAAACTTTGAAACCCAGGGAATAGGTCAGTGCGCAGCGACACTGCAGTGACTTCAAAAGCAAATTAGGAGGGAACATACTCTGAGGAGTACTTTTGGGAAAAGCACTGATGCTTCGAAACATGCTTGACAACTTAATTAGTTTTGGGAATGTCATTTGCAACCTGTCGCGTGTTCGAACCGCTTCATGAGTGTTTGTGCATCGCACCCTTTTCCTTCTCGAGACAAAGGGAGGGCGGGTGGTGAGCCGTTCATGCTACTTGAGATCAAGGATCTCAGCCGGTGAGCTTGGTGCGCCTCTTGGAAAAGACCGAGGCTACGGAAAGTGCAGGGCACTTGGAGCAACCACAGGTGTTTGGAAGGAGGGCTTCTGTTTGAATTGGTTTGCACGTTGTTCTATACGGTGAGAGCCCAATCCACCGGATCTTCCCTACCAGTGCCAGATCGAGTTTTGATACGTGTGTACGTAGGTACGTAGGTGGGTAGGTAGGTAGGTAGGTAAGTAGGTAGGTAGGTAGGTTAGGTTAGGTTAGGTTAGGTTAGGTTAGGTTAGGTTAGGTAGGTAGGTAGGCGCGTGCCTCCGGGCCTCCGGGCCTCCGTGCGTGCGTGCGTACGTGGGTGTTTGTTTGCCCTGCTTAACCCGCTCACAATGGTCGCAATGCGCATGCTGCATCCCAAAAGTTGCTTCAGAAGGATCTGAAGCGTCTTTGTGCATTACTCTAAAATGTGATGGTTGCATCTTGGCCGGCTGTGTCTGTTAACAACTTCATGTTTTGCTTGCACAAATCTACTGTAAGAAGATTTTGCAAGCTCTCGTGCATGACAAGTTCGCGGCATCTTTGGTGACCGTCTACCAAATTGTTGCAAGGGAGGTTTGGGGCGGCGCAAAGTGTTATGTTTCGTCCAAATGGCACTTCATACGGGTTCCTACATGCTACAATTTGTTGAAATTATTGGCACCCAGTCAACAACAGAAGCTATGGCAGAGTAAGAGGTACAACAACAACAACAACAATTTCACATGAAATGAAAGACATAAGCGAAGCTTCATTAGCAGAATGTGTTTGTAAATCCGACATTCAGGCGCAATCTGCATTAGCGTTAGATTACTGCAGCTGATCCGTGAGAGTGTCTTTGTGGGACACTGTGAAGCAGCTGGACTCTGCAGAGAAAGAGAGGAAGAGAGAAACAAAAAGAGAGGAAGAGAGAAACACTGTGAGAGAGAGGAAGAGAGAAACAAAAAGAGCAAGAGCGAGACGCCGAGAGCGCTTTTCATCAACCTTCACTGTGCCGAGACAGAGGGTTTGCAAGAAACCGTGTGCTGCCCTTTCATCATGGCAGCAGTCTGCACTAGCAGGAGTGCAGAGAAGGAGGGGACTTCAGGGGGACCTTTCCGAAATATGTAAACCAAAAATGGAACGATGACTCGTTGCGACAACAATAATTTTAGTATGTGTCTTGATGTCCTCTCAGTTGAAGCGCATCAGAATCTACTGTATAGAATGCTCGTGGATGGATCGGAGCAGTAGTGTACCTTCTTGCCAAAACAAGACTTGGGTGTCTGAAGGTCTGCTGGGCACACCACATCGTACGGGGATTCCTGCCTTTTGACAAGCATAGCATAACGGTAATGCACGCTTTTCCGTAGGGGCCTTTATGCCATCAAGGTCCTTCTGGTCCTTCTATGCATAGGAAGTTTTATTCTGTTGATTTCCCTGTAACTTCTGTACACTGGCATGCTTATTGCAGCCACCTCCAGGAGTGGAGGTGAAGTCTTTCTGTCGGTTTGAGCAGCATCCAGCTGCTCTTCGTAGGTTTGTTCGTATCTTTCATAATTTATACAGGTGTTTGAATCAATACTCGGGTTTCTCTGCAGGGTCAATTTGTGCAATCTTTGCGTGTCTTGGTGACTGGTGGGGAGCAAACGAGCTGCGACAATGAAAAAGTGTGGAGCTGACCCCTCTCCTGCTTGTATTTGCGAATCATTAAGAGCTCCACAGGGGGTGGGGGCAAACTGTACAGCGCTTCCTTGCTTTAAAAAACACCGTATAAAACCTTCTTGTCCTTCTTCTGCACCACACGCCGATACTGTTCCCATCTGAGTGCCGCGCTGACCTCTATGGGCACAATAACGTTGGCAAAGCGCGAGCCCGTCCCCTCAGCTTCTTGTTCCTAGTAGCTTCTTGTTACTAGTAGCGGTGCCAGGAGCCCCTAGTAGCGTGCTTGCTCCTAGTAGTAGGGCCAGGAGCACCTAGTAGCTTCTTGCCAATAGAAATGTCACATTGCACAAATCCAATTAGAGTTTGCAGCCAACTGCTCTTTTCGCGCCTCCCGGTGGACAAGAACAACCTCCAGCTCATGACTCAGCTCCTGCTTCGTCCCTTCTGCAACCAAAGCAGGCTTGCGCAGTTGGATGCTCCTCAAACAGGCACCGTTGAGAACATGCCACGCAGACTTGTACTGATTGATCCTGCACTGGGCACAAAAGGAACGCGTGTGAGAGAGAGAGAGAGCTCCGCTTTACAAAAAGACAAGTCAAAGAAGGGAAGTCAGCTGCTGTAGATGGGCAATTTGTACAATGAAATCCGTGAGCAACAGAACCGTCTGTACCCCCCGCGCCCCTAAACTTCAAGGTTCCCTGGACCCCCGAAAGCATCCAACATTGAGGGACGCGTCTGCAGTTTAGACTTCCCCGTCTAGTCTGAATGCGGTATGATTTATCCATCCCTTGGCAGCGCAAATGCTCTTGGGCGTGCAACCATGAGTCTGCAAGCGATATTTCTGCTCCGCGGTCGTATTCGAATCCGGGGATGTCAACACGAAATTGGCCTGACGGCATTTGCAAAATGAATTGTTCAGGCGACACTGCACGGCAAGTTATATACAAGACTCAAGGATCAGCTGTCTCTTGGCCGCGCACGGTGATGTCGGCTGGAGCTTGGATGACGAGTGCATTATCAGTCAAAGTTGACATCAAAGGGCTTTTGTACCTGAGTCTGCACTTGCTCTTTTCTACACTCGGAAGTCACAATGTTGGAAACAAGTGGATGCTGCACATGCTTGCAGAAACGCACCCCGCGCTCATTGCAGCGCAGGCTCTCCAAGAAATCATACTTCAGGAGAACTGGAGCGACCAGTTGGGGATTTTGCAAGGCCCACCTTGCGTTGTTCGTGCTACAAACAATGTCCCGCCGCACAAATCCACAAGTCCTCTGCAATGCAGTGTGCCTGTATGTCTGCCCACTGCTGCCCATGATCGCGTCACATCCAGCGTCTGACAAGCCTTGCAAAAACGTGGACAACGGCAAGTATATCGGGGCATCTTCAGGAATGCGCACGCAATAGTAGTTGCAGAGCTGGTGGAGCACATTGATAACATTTTTCGATGGTGACACGTGCATTAAGGCAATTGGATTTGATGGCATCAAGCTTTATCCACCGAAAATTCGCTCCACTCAATGGCAACATGAATGAACCAGACGTAAAATATATATGCAAGAATCTGTTACCGAACTGTACACAGCTTCCAGTGAACAATCATATATATGTCTAATGTGTGCATGTATGCTCTATGCGCCGTCTTTAGCACCCGATACCCTTTTGACAAGCCTCTGTGCGCCGGCTCCACTTGTACACAATTTGTCACACACTTGACCGATGATTCCAGTGACACGTTTTCTTTTTGCGCCCTCTTCGCGTTGATTGACGGAGGCCTTTTTGATATTGAGTGTGAGTCTTAGGTTGTGCGAGCAATACTATTGTGCACAAGAGCGCCTCCCCGGGCACATTTCCCTAGGTCTGCAAAAGGGCCCGAGCGAGAGAGAGAGAGAGAAGAGAGAGAGAGAGAGCAAGCAAAGGATGTATATTAAACCCCCTCCAACGGGATGGGCCTGAACAAAGAGGGGCCCAAACCACCAAACCACTATGGCGCGTCCCACCAAGGGACAAACAGCGAATGCTGCACAAAGCAGCAACCCTTTTACGCTCGAGGTGAGCCCGTGGCTCAAGCGCTGCGGCGGTCGGAGAACATCAGAACATCGACACCTGATTCAATCACATGTCATCGCACCAGTCCAAAGCTTTTCTTGGATCATGCGCGATCAAGCCCTGTAGGTCCTTCATTTGTTGGACCGCTGAGGTGCCAAGGCGTTTCGCCCTTTTCTCAGACTGCACGAAGTTCTCATCGAACCGCAGCCGCCAAACATTGTTCTTCTTGAACTGCGCCAAGCCACCCCCGCAAGTCCGACTTTTCTTCGTCAGACTGTCTGACAGGTTCCAATTGCCGCTCACCCACACCAAGCGGCATTGCTCTATTTGCGCTGCTCTTTGAGTTGCTCTTTGAGCTGGTAGCCCTGCAATGCGCTTCTTGCATTGCTCATGCCCAGCAGTAGGGCATCTGTCTTGTTGCAGGCGTCGAACACTCCTTTGGAGTCGGTGACGACGATGCCCTTCACGTAGCCGACAAGCTTGTTGGCCTTGTCGAGGACGTTGCCATCATTGATGGCGCAGCAGCCATTGAGCTGCGCCCACATGAACCTTACGCGGAAGTTGGAGTCTTCTCCTTCCAGCGTAGCTTGCATTTCGCCATCGTTGGTGGAGATGGCTTTGCGCTTTAAGCGCCATGAACGCCAGCTGATGGTATTCAGCTTTCTGGCGTCTCCATTGGCCTGCTCTGGGCCTCCGAGACATGTCAGGATGCCTCCTGTTGAGCCGCCCTGCGGCCTGTTGGCGTGCGCCTGATCCGCCATGGTCACGAACACTGTTGCCAGTGATCAATGCGCAGCAGCTGCCACAAGCGGATCTGCATCGGATCCTTCTTGAGATCCTTGATCAACTGGTTGATTTTTTTTTCGACAGCCATGTTCTTGTTGACCGTGAGCTCGGTGAGTAGAAGTTTCACCCTTGCGCAGGCTTGGATCTGCGTCTGGGTCGCTGCCCATTGTAGAGCTCCAAGTGAGGCTCTGCAAGCCGCCATCTCACCATCTGTGAGGTTCGTCTTGGGGTCTTGACGAAGTCGTTCATCCCTGATGGCCAGCGGTGGAAGGTCTTCCAGGTAGAAGTCCTGGTTGAGCTCAACATAGCGCTCCTTGCTCTTGTTGACCACTTCCACATTGAGGCCAGCGTAGCGGAAGTTCTCTTCCTTCTTGGAACCCCAGGCATAGAGCTCGTCGATGCTCTTGCGGACCTGGAGTTGGGTGTCGTTGCACAAGTCGCCAGCTCTCATGAAGTCATCGACGTGGCCGCCAACGAAACCAATCAAGCGGTATTGGTCCGCTTCATTGATCGGAGTGGGGTTCTCTTCCACCCAAATCCAGAATGAGCTGTCTCCAATCAGGCGGTAAGCTCCAATGCTTTTGAGCTTGGCGTCAACGTCGTGCCAGAGCTCTCGCGGCGCATCAGCATTGCCGTAGACGTTCCGGAGAATCCGGAGCAGTTCACCATCACCAGCTCCGAGGGCGTGACGAAGTTCTGGAACTCCAGGCGGTCCTCCATCACACCTTCTCCTGTCTGGAGGAACGCCGTCTTGAGGTCCAAACTCTCCAGCTTCCAATCGCGTTGAGCGATGACCGTGAGAGAGAGGCGCCTCATCAACTGACTTGAAACTGGAGCCATTGTGACCAGTAACCACCCTTGAGGTCTGGGGGCTGGAAGCCTAGAAGGACGATTCTAGCTTTGGCTTTGCGGGTGAGGGACTCATCATAGACCGTGGTGTCCGGGTTTGCCAAACGGTCCGCTCGGGCTTGGTTGCGATATTCTTCTGGCACTGGTTTCCAAACCAAGACCCATCGTGCTCGAAGCACATGATCAGATTGCTGTGCCTCTTGCTGCTCCTCGTAGGTCAAGCAGCGGCGTACAGCTTGGGTCTTGAGGAACGATGAAACCTCGCCACCTTTGGCATTGGTCATCAGGCGTCGCTCCTCCGAGTTGAGACATGCGCACCATGTTCCGAGGTGCGGGATGTCCAGATGCTTGGTGGAGTCGATGTAGTTGGATGGCCCAGTTCTTCTTGTCATCCTCGGATGGAGGTGGTTCTTGATCTTCTTCATCATCATCAGCTTCATGAGGTTGTCCGGAATGCCCATCTTGAGCTGCATATAGGGTGTGGTCCCCAGAAGTGGCGATAGCTGAAGAATTGCTGAAGCACAGCAGCTGTGTTTGGAAGCTGCTTGCGTACCAAGGGCGACTGCTCCAGCTTGTTCAGGAGGTTGTGCACGCGGTTGGTGCCTGAGAGTTCTTCCAAGCTCCATGACATGGCCAAAAGCCTTGCAGGTCCAGTGAGGCGAGCGACAAGACGAGCTCCAAGTGGGGACCTCTGGCTTTTCTTTGTCCCCATCGTGTACCAAAGAACCTCTCTTTCACACCTGCACCATCCTCGAGGGTTGCCATCCCATGATGGAATGGTCTCAGCAACCTGTTTGCCCTCCATGGCCAAAATGGCGAGAGCAAAGAAAGAAGCCGCCTCTTTGAGGCAAGGTGCAAAAGTGAAGACCTCGTTGAGGTACAGCCAGCAGAAAGTAGCCCTCAACTTGTAATGGATGAAGTCGAAGTCCAGGAAAAGGCTATGGATAGTCCCGAAAGGAGAAAGTTCAGGATGTCAAAGTCCCGGATGTAGTGTCAGCCTTGGCGTTGCCGGCCAACCGGGAAGTAGCGATACCCAATCACAACCTCCCCCGATGGCAGCACCACGTTGAGAAGGCCTCCTTCTTGCTGCCAACGCCCAGCTCGCGTTGGTTGAGCTTGCCGAGGATCGTTGTTGAAGATGCTCCAAAGAGCCGCTGCAGCCCATATGTTCTTCTCGTCGGTGAAGGTCCTCACCAGGTTCAGGCTCTGGATCAGGCTCCGGGCGATCCCGGGTTCGTGATGTCCTTGCATCCACCTGAGCACGAAGCTGCGGGGTGAAGATATTGTAAGGACGCGAACCACCAGGCGGGGAATGAGAGACCTCGGAGAACCGCAGGAAGTAGGCCGCCACGAAGCCCCAGGCAAAGCTCCGCTGCCAATGCAACGGGATGGGCCTACACCAAGAGGGGCCCAAACCACCAAACCACTATGGCGCGTCCCACCAAGGGACAAACAGCGAATGCTGCACAAAGCAGCAACCCTTTCACGCTCGAGGTGAGCCCGTGGCTCAAGCGCTGCGGCGGTCAGAGAACATCGACACATGGTTCAATCACATGTCATCGCACCCCCTGAACCTGCCTAGCTCATTCTGTATCCTGAAGGGTGTAGAAGCTTACAGCAGCTACAAGCACATGATTTGCCCGTCTTCTTCCCAATGGCTCACATCAGAGCAAGACAGTCTCAGTGCTGTCCAGCTACACCAGGGCCGAGAAGGATAGAATGCGAGGCGAAAACAATTGGCCAACGTTCACGTAGAGAGATACCACACAACCAGAAGAAACGTACTTAAAGGTTCAAGGCGTTTAGTATTTGGATGTGCTGCTTGGTGCTACTTAGGAAGTAGCCTATCTTGAGATATAACTTATGTAAGTGAAGATATAAATGACTTTTCTATGACAACTATTTATCATCACTTACTATCTATGACGCATCAATTACTTTGTGTTGTAACTATGTAAGCTACTCACTATCTAATTTGTATCTACTTATGCTAAGTGAGCTAAGTACTTACCACACATACAAGCCAGACCCCCAAGTCAAGGACAAGGTCAGGAGCACAGATGTGGCGCGCAGCTGCTGGCGTCGCCCTACTTCAGGGTACGCCTCCCCCGCCGAGGGCCGTCGAGAGGTTGTGGTTGAACGGGGCAACTCATGCAGACATGCCATGCAGAGGCTCATTTGCTTGCAGTTGCTTTTACCGGTGAAGTCTGCAGTGTTTTTCGAGTGGGCAATTCAGAATGTTTCTTGCCTTTACATGGCTTTCATGAGGTTTCCTGTTGTCATGTGACATGACATGGCCAGACGTGACATGGTTTTCCTGTTTTCATGTGGCGTGACATGGCATGACATGTC